GTAGGTAACCTTTAACCTTTGGGGCTTAGTTCGAAGGGTTAACCTTTTTTTGGGCTAGGGCACTCAGCCCCCAAGTCAAGCATACACAAGTTGAAGACTCATGGTCGAAAACGCACACGAAATCTTCAAACCAACTAGAAAGACAAAAGCAGGAAACATGCGCACAAAGTGCACGCTGACCGTAAACCCTGAACACAGATACACAAAGACACAGCCATACAGTCAGAAACTACTATAGTGCCGGGATGCTTAGTAATTGTATCAGCTTCTTCTCACCATTATTTTAACAATATTAAACCCTCAGAACATGTTCTGATTGTTGAGGCCCCTCTACTCGAGCTTCAAAAAGCCTTAAACTGTTGTAGACTCTAGACATACGGTCGATGATATAAATCATGCATTAGCCATAATAAGGAACGTACCCATAATTCCCACAGTTCAGTGTCCTTAAGGTAGTGCAGTATTTATATCACGTATGTGAAAGCACCTCTATTCGAGCTTCAAAAGCGACAGGTGCCAGAAGGAATCGGCTTTCTTAGGCCGACAGAGGGACTTGCTTTATTGTCGTGGTAAAGTATTTTTGCGTGCGTTTGTGAAGGTTGTACATGATATTGGTTTCACATCGTGTTTTGATACCTTAGGGGGTTGGGCACTGTTCAGGGATGCTTCACAGTGTTTGGGGGGTGTTAGAGCTAGGGGGTTAAGGTTTAGAGATTCTTTTGATTTGGTTTCTGGTGGATTTTTGTTGCGAGCTTTTCCGACGGCTTTCCAGGGTTGTAGAGGTTTGGGTTTAGGGTTTAGCACTTCGGATTTCTTATGTCTGAGGCTGTTGCTGCATTTTGATACTGGCATGCATCTGGGAGTCCTACCAAAGTTGTAGAAGTTGTAGGTGCGCTGCTTTAGGATTCTTTCAAGGTTTGGGTAAACTTGCTTAGGAGCCTTGAAAACCCTAAACCCCAAACCCCTAAACCCCTAAACCCCTAAACCCTAAACCTAAACCCCAAACCCTAAACTCCCTAAACCCTAAACCCCTAAACCCCAAGTTAGTTCGAAGTTGCGATATCATCCTAAGCCCAA